GTGTTGCATTTGGCCAGGTCAGGGGGATTGAATTTGTGCATGGGCACCAGTTTCGTTCTGTGTCTGCACCAGGTGCTTCCATGGTTTCTTCTGCCTCCAGCTCAGGGGAATGAGGAAAGGCTGTGGAGAAGGGATACTGTGAAGCAGTGAAGGTTGCCTGTGCTTCCCTGGAGCTCGGAGTGACCTTAGGGAACGCATGTCTGCTTGCCAGCTGATTTTTCCCTGGGTCAACAGAGCCAACCTACATGACTTCCAGGCCCCATTTCCTTCTCTTTGCTTTCTAATAAAGGAGAACATTTGGGTCAGTTCGCACTGTTCCTTCAAGCTTCATTTTTTTCACTGTCTCATAGTGAAAAGGTTATAAAATTTCTCCTGTGAGCTTTCAGCTCCATGTTGCTTCTGGCTCTGTAAGTTGCGTACGTAGAAGGCACTAAAAGCATTGAAAACAAATCCCTGGATATATAATTCTATAATTTATCATGTTAAGCTCTGAGAGAGCGTCTTTTCCATCTGAATGACAGCAGAGTACTGTGAGCTAAGACTTTTTGGGTCAAGAAATAATCATGGCTACTGATAGATGATTTGCTTGAATGACTTTTCGTTATCAAGCTGAAACAACAGCTAAGATAAGGCTTAATAACAGGTGTTTTTTTCCTTTAATAACACATTACACTGAACTGATCTCTTGATGGTCCACTAGTCTCATCAACCCACAGCTGGTTTCATGTCTTAACGAGAGCTGCTTAACAAATGGACTTTCTGGATTGTACTGAAGTGTATTTGCACTGTGGCAACCTGATATAATTAAAAAAAAAATCTATTTGGGATGTAGCATTATCTTAAGAAAACCAACCCTCTCCTGCTGTACATAGTTAACAGTAGAAGGAGTGGTGAAAAATAGCATGAAATTGCAGGAAGATTTATGTTGGACTTACAGGCTAAAAGAAGGGGAGTGAGGGAGAGAGAGAATGAGATTTTAGAGAAGTGGAAAAATCAAGATGAGAAATGACAGTAAGTTTGTTTAAGGGTCAGACCCATTTCCCTGCCTTCAGCTACCTGAGAGGTAGATGCATAATCTACACTGCTCTGCCATTCTGGTTCATGGGAAAAATGTGTTCTCTATTCCCATCTGAAGATAGAATGGAATGCCCTGTTAGAGGTGTTTATGTTCTGTGTGGACTGTGGAGGAAAGCTTGGCCAATAGCTTGGATGGCTAGATTTAGCAAAGATGAATTCCACACCTCCTCTAATCTTGAGTAAGGCTTTTAAGGTTTGGTTTTCCTAGAAGCAGCCATGCAATTCAATATGTGGCAGTCTCTGACATGCCACCAACTCCAAGGTACATTTTTCTTCTTGCAATTAATGCAAGTCATTAGGTTATTGTCTGTGAAGATTTTGCAAAGCTCTATTAGTGACTTTGCATCTTTCCCTAATTCCAGCTTTAATGTCTTGGAATAGCTAGGAGGAGACTTGCTAAAAAGTCAGCAGCTGTGCCTGCAGATGCTGAATTCCACCTGGTGAGCTGGATGCTTTTGTGACTCAAAAACTATCTCTCTTACATTATTTCAGAGTCAAAGTTTCCCCATTATAGAAAACTTAATGATATCTGAGTTGTAGGTGTGTTGCAAATTTTAGTGAATTAAATATAGAAAATGTAAATATAGAAAATGTAAAAATGCCTTAGAAAAGTGTTGTAGTTTTCTATATTGTTTTAATTTTTAAAGATCTTTTCACAACATTAATTAAATCAACTGATTAAACTAATCCCATAGTGTAATTTGCAATCCCCTAATAGATCTCCTTTGATTTGGACCTCAAAGATTTTTTTTATTTTGCAATTTTCTTTGTCTTGCTCTCTTGACAAACTGTAACACAGCACCAGTTTAGCACACATTGGCTTTTCTTAGGACACTCTGTGCTGGGAGTGGACACAGTAATCTATAATAAGGATTTCCAAGCTCTTCCTATTCCCAGCTGTTACTCAGAGATGGATCAGCAGTTAATTCCTTCCTTACCCTCTCACTAGACTGAACTCAGTACTCCACAGGGTCTAAGTTTAGCCCTAATTTTTCAAACAGCAAAATACCCTGATATCCAATGAACATGTGGGTAGTCTGTAGGTAGTGAACCTTCAGTTAAAAGAGATGTAAATGCAGGTGTCTCACCTTCTCTTTTCTTACCTTTTCCCCACCTCATGCAATTAAAAATTTAAAGATGTTTTCCCATTGCGTCTCCCATTATAGCTGAAACACATCTTAAGCTTCTACAGAAGGAAAAGGCTGAATGGGGACAAAATAAGAGGAGTTTAAAGAAAATGGTGCAGGGAAACTGTGAAATAGGAAAAAAAATTATTTATAGATGCAGTGAAAAGGGTGAGGGAGATTTTTTTCTTTACGGCCATATTTTTACCCCTTTTACTCATAAGTAGTGTAATTCCTCACAACAACAGTTTTTGGACAATCTTTCTTTAATAGTGATGAATAATAGTGATTTCCCAGCAGTTATTTCAGTATGGAAAATTGAGATTGTCATATGGAGGTATACAAAACTTTGTGGTTGAATTCACACACAAATACCGTTTTTTGGCTCAGAAGTCATTGGTTTTTGCACTTCATTTGTTCCTATCCTACCTTTCAAAATAGCTAGTTTTGAAATTATTTGATGAATACCCAGATCAGATAGAGAGGGCTTAGGTCCCAGCATAGGCTGGTATCCCTTCTCTTCAAGGCTTACTCTGAGTGCTGTGTTGCAAATCCCAAATGTTGCTTTATAAAACCTTTTAAAACATATGAGACCGTGGATTGAATAATAGGTTTTGCTACAAACGAAATGATGGCCAGTTTCTGTTGAAAGGGAGCTGACTTACCTGTGCTTTTAAATGATATTTAAAACTTGTTGAAGTTTATGATTCAAGTTGCAGTTTAGCTAGGTAAAGGTCAGTTTTGGAAATGATCTGTAAACATTTAATCAAAATCTGGTTTTACTTTAAGGTTCTTTGTCATATTTCAAATCTGTCCATTAAATGCAGTTTTAGCACAGGTCCGTGGTTTGGATTACTATCAAGTGCCCTGCTAACTCTTTAGAATTGCCTTATTTCAAACCAGAGCTCACTCTTTATACAGGACATTGATCTGAATTTCTAAAGTGACTTAGATGGAAAATGGTTTTGAAAAAAAGGCTTATTTAGTAACAGAAAAAGCTCACTCAGCAGCTCCGAGATCAGTTTGAAGTACTCAGGCCAGAGAGATATATATACCTACAGTCACATAGGATTGCAGAGCTTAAATTACACATACTGTTATGTAAAAATTCCTGTTTGTCTTTCAGATTTGCTCATTTCTTTTACTAAGTCAGTCGATTAAGACATACAGTTGTTTGTATATTTTAGCAAAAGAGGCCTGCACTTCTTGAAAAACAGAAAAGTATCTTTGAGCTTTCAGTGTTACAGTCTAGTAGATTCCCTGATGTTTGCCCTGATCATTTTTGTCATGAAAAGTAGAGTTGAAATAGAACAGGTACTCATTTCTCATAAGCATACTGTGGTTTAATCATGGCTAAATTGCAAAATTTAGCTGTTAGGCAGTTTGAAAAGAATGTATTTTCTTCCAATATTTTACAGTTTTATCTCTACTTTCCATCTCCCTGCCACAACACAAGTCTTCCTCAATGGTGTTAAAATTTGGTGATTTCTTCCAGGCTTAGAGCTTGAGGTATATAAGGGAGCAGCACGTGAGACCTGCCAGGGCAGTTGTCCTGTGGTTTCTACATTCTTCCCATTACCAAGAGGCCAGTGGGAGCTCAGAGCTCTGTGTAACTGTGATGGCAGTGGGGACCTTCTTGTTGCCCTTGCAACTGGTCTGGCAAGTATGTGAAACTTAGGATGTTAACAAGGATGTTATGCCCTTTTCCACATCCCTTGCAAAGGAAAGTGTTTCTTTTCATGAGATCAAGTCTGAAGATCAGTATCTGATTGTGTCATTTGTGTATATAAATTAGTCCACAAAAATGGACTGCACACCACAGACAATCATATAGGAAATAAAAAGCAGAAGAACATAGGTTTCCCTGTGGTAATGAAGAACGTTGAAATGTTTTTTCTGCAAAGTAATGCTCTTTCTATGTAATAAACATAATACTCCTTGCTTTTTGCGTTTTTTATGTGTTTATGAATTATAAAGGGATCTTTGTTGCCCCTCTGCATATTCCTAAGAACATATTCCTTTTGTTTCTTAGGAAGAAGACTAAGTACACCATCACCAGATACTTTCATATGGATTAGTGATTAAGGCTCCTTACTGTAACAGGAATGACTAGATGTCTGCTAATGCACTTCCAAATATTCCCAAAGAGTGGCTGTGGATGTACTTTCTAGATTTGCATTCAGAAGGTAATGACCTGATAGCAAAAGAAAATTAAATTGGACTGATGCAAATATCTTGTCACTGAGCCTTAAATTCAAGTCACCTACTGGGTTTTTATTTTGCTTCTGTTGTT